CCTGGCACGGGTGCCTCCCCGGGGCTGTGTGGAGCATCGCGGCTGAGGCTGGGGAGAGCTGGGAGGAGCGGCAAAGCCCCCAGAGCCTGGGCCAGCAGCCGTGGCCCCAGGGCCAGCACCCGGACCCTCACCTCCCGGCAGCAGTGGTTGATGAGCCGCAGGTGGACGCTGACTTTGGTTTTAATCTTTATCAGGCACTTCACCATGGTGGCACGGGCAGCGGCTGGCCTGGCCCGTGGCACAGGACACCCGTGTGGACTGCGAGGGGGCGCGGGGACAGCTGCTCACCCACGGGCACGGCTGACGCAAGCGGGGCTGGTACCGCTGGCCCTGGAGTCAGGGCTATTTTAGGCTCCCATATTTCCATAGGGCCGAGCTGAAGTAAGAGCAAAGAAAAGCAGCTGCTGGCAGGGCAAGAGCTGCCGGGGCAGGGGTGGTGCTGGGAGCCTGTGCCAGCTCAGGGTAATTTATTGTGGGAGGCTCTTGTTGCTTCGCAATGGCACACGTGGGAGGCGGGGGAGAGGGTGCTCACATTTACCAGGGCAGCAGAGGTGACCTTGTCTGCAGGGCTGCTGCAGCTGCCAGGCATGCTCCCACCCCAAAAATCAGCACAGACGTCAGCCCTGGGCTTCCTCGATGGAAAGAAATCCCTTTCCTGCTCCGAGGGACCTGTCCCTTTGGGCAGGCAGTGTTTCTGCACCCTGTCCCTGCCCGTAGCCCAGGCAGCAGGATCAATGCAGCTGTGCCAGGGCAGGGGCTAGCCCCGCAGCCTGTTTGGGAGCAGGGCATGACCACAGCGTGCACTCCCCCGCCTCGCCCCATGCTCCCTGCTGTCCCCGTTCCCTCGTCCACCTCCCAGTTTTCCAAACCTCTGTGCATCATCACATGGCCCCAACACACACCAGCAGCACCCACCACACACACTGCTCTCCATCACCCCAGTGTCACCAGGAGTCAGACACTGCCATCACCAGCAGGTACCACAGCCACGCTCAGTGGCACAGCCACAGGCCCCAGCACTGTCCCCAGCCCCGCAGGGCAGCTCCAGGGCCGGTCCCAGCATTTTGTCCTCTGCCAGGTGCATCCCACCCATGCACGGCCCTGACCCCGGCTGCAGCTCGGCCCCAGGATGGGGGTACCAGCCTCCCTGCCGCAGGCTGCCACAGCGATCCAGCCTGGCAGACTGGCAAGCCATCGGCGGCGGCCATCGGCTGGCCAGGAGCAGCTCCCAGGTGGGTGACAAGTTCTTTTGCAGACCAGCTTGCTCCTGTACATGGTCAGACCTCAGCCCTGTGACTCTCAGTAACACTGTGCTCTGCTGGGACCCCGCCGGGTGCTGGTGTACCTCTCCAGGCAGGTTTGCTTTGCTTTCAAACTGGGGCTGTTTGGAAGAGCAGAGCGAGGCACGCCGGCATGCGCAGGACGGGGCTGTCAGGGTAACTTCAAAGCAGGGCTCACTCACCTCTTCCCCGGGTCAGAGCTATCAGGGCAATGTGGAGCCTTTTGCTGAATTTCCAATCTAATCTAAATTAACAATTGCTGAGAAATTCTCCTCTGCTTTGCTTCTGCACTGGAAACTTCTGTCCCGCAACCAGCCCTCCACTTTGCCTGGGCTCAGCTATTGATGCCAAACTGGCCCTGAGCCACAAGAGCAACATCTGTTGCTGTCAAGCCTTGCCTGGGGACACGTCAGGGATCTTCCCTGCCCCGGTGTCCCCACATCAGCATCAGGGGGTACAAAAATCAGCTGGATGTGTGTCTGCTTTTTTGTGTGTGCATGTGTTTGCATATGTGTATGTGGGTGCTCGTGTGTGTGTGCACGTCCCCAGCGCTGGTGCTGCCCCGGTTCCCGAGCCCCAGGGAGAGCTGCCCCATGCCCTACCTTCCATGATGGAGATGTGCACGGCTCTCCTCCGGGTGCGGGGCACGCTGCTCAGGCGGGGGCCGTGGGTGATGGAGGGGCAGCTCCGGCTCGGCACCAGCCCTGCCCTGGGGATGAGAACAGGGACAGTGTCAGAGCCCCGGACGGTGCCAGAGCCCCGGGCATGCGGCAGCTCTCCCACTTCGGTCCTGTGGCTCCCTCCGCCACCCCAGCGAGCCGGGTACTGGACCCCTGGGAGGCCCCGGCCCCGCAGGCTGGACTGCGCAGTGCCACTGCTACCAGGCTCTTACCGGTGAATCTCGGGGGGCTCCCTCTTGATCTTGGCGCTGGACTCCATCACCTCCTTTGCAACACGGCCACTGCAGGCAGTTGAAGAACAGCAACCGTGAGGATGTGACCGCTGCACTGGCAAGCCACGAGCTCCCCCCATGGCACACCATGCCCTGGTACGGCCTAGCCCCCTCCCCATGCACATGGGCTGGGAGAGGGGGGTTCTTGCTGCGGCTCCAGGGGAAAGCAGAAATATTTGCTGGAAGTAAGGGTCATGGGAAGAGCAGGGAAAGGCTGGGCTGACACCTCTGCCACCATGTTTTGCTGCTTCTCTTGGCATGAGATGCTGGACACCATGGGATCACCTCCTCCCCGGGCAGGGGGACACACCATGGGCGTCTGGGCCCTCCCGTGCCAGCAAGGAGGGTGCCAGCATCATGCACCTTGCAGCTGGGGATGCGCTGGAGTCTCTCGTCTTGCAGAAATACAAGGTCCCAGGTCCAGGCTCTCGCTCCAGGGCCAGGGAGGAGCAACACCCCCCAGGAATTTAGGAATTGTGATGATTCGTTTCACTCCTTGCTCTCAAAAACGAAACCCCAAAGCCCCCTGTCCTCTCCCCTCCTCCACTCCTGTCCCTCCAAAAATCTGCTGTTCTGGGGCTGGAGAGAGGGATGTCAGCTGTGAAACAGAGAAGTGGTGATGGCCTTGGCGAGGCGGCAGCGCTGCAGTGGGAGGACCTCCAGCGACAGGAGGACCCTTAGCAAGTCCTCAGACTACTGCAGCCCTGAACTGCTCCCCACAGCACAGCCAAAGGAGCATCTGAAAACATATCCAGTAGCTGCTACTTACTGTCATTATTTACCTGTATCGGAACCGGCTTCCCTTGAAGAACAAGTTGCTGCTGGACACTGTCCGGACCTGGCTCGACTTCTCCAACCTGCAACAGCACCAAGAGCTGCATGAGCACCCTGCGTCGCCAGCCAGGTGCTGAGCACCCAGGCAGGGTATGGCCCCCGGCACTGCTTCACGGCAAAGCTTTCGCCCAGTTTTGTTTCCAATGCACTGCGCCGGTGACAAGGACTGATTGCTCTGCTGATGCCCTTACAGCATCATCCCTGCCAGACTGACCCCTAGGATCAGAGGGAGGCAGCCGCACGCTGCTGGCAAACAGCAACGAGGCCAAATTACAAGAGCAACGCCCTGGAGATGCGAAACACCACCAGGAACGAAACAAGCCGCCAGTCACCACCCAGCAGTGGCAGGGTGACACCAGCTGGTGGGACATGAGCACCTGGACCGTCATGGCATCATCCTGCAGCCCTCTCCACCAGCACAGCACATCCCTGCCAGCAGCAGGAGCGTTGCCCAGCCCATGCCCGGGCTCCTGGACAGACCCGCTGCCAACGGCTTCCCCAGCAGCTGAAGGGGGGCTCGGGCTGCAGCTCATACAGGGTCCACTGGGGCCACCAGCGAGCACCT